AGAAATATGTTAAATAAAAATAATAATAAATAAATGTTTATTATAGTTTTTCCAGAGAATGACTTGAATTTTGTATGGTTTAGTTCATTTTTTAGATTGTTAACATCTTGCACTATATTTCTTTTAGTTGAATTTTATATGCTTTGGTTGAGATTTTATGTTGATGTTAAATCTTTTAAGCTTTTTTTGTTAAAGAATTGACTCTAGAGTGCATATTTTGTGTCCATGAAAAAACTATTACAGAAAATATGACAATATTAAAGAACTGTTCTTGTTAATTTGATGAAAWCATTTTAAATATCCAGCGCACTCACATCAGAATAACTTTTAGATTTGTTGTTAGAATAATCGATTAATCGAAAAAAATAATTGTTTGGTACAGCACTAATACCGTATCTATCTTTGCCTGATTCACTAGATTGTCTTTTGCAACAGAATCAGTCGCACAGTGAATGCAACAAGTTTTTTTTTTTTTTGTGTGTGTGTGTGCAGATGGGCAGATTTGTTGGTGTTTCAGCTTGGCATTGAAGCACACCTGATACAGGCTACGTGGCTGTTTTTTTGCTGGGAGGCATGTTTATTCTCTGACCTCTCCTGAAGTGAAAACTGTTTTCACCTGGAAGGTTGAAGGCTTTCGGGATTAGGAGGTAGCCTCGCTGAACCGTGGCTCATTTCCCCTGTGATGTCCTTGCCCGAGAGATACCGCGCCGTGCCCGTCATACTCATGCTGCCGTAATCAAAGGTGGTGACGTAGGACACCAACTGTCACTGCTGGAGCAATTCCCAGAAATTGACCATCATCTTCCCAGCCATATGCCTTGCGAGCTCTGTGACTGTATGACACCAGTATTTAAAAATACCTTTCAGTCAGTGAGTGGGAGGTGAAATGATAGTGCTTCCCACACCGTGCCAGTCTCAGCTTGTGAAATCCCGTCCATCTTGGGGACAAGATAGAGCTTTTAGCTGTTTCACAGTGTCAGCATGTCTTTGGTTGGATTGTCATGTGACATTTTTTAAAAGTTAAGCGTCTTCTGAGTTACCTCATGTTTGTACTGATTTATTTATTTATTGTGACATACAGTATATAACTAGTTTGAAGGAATTTATTAGTTAGTTAGACACTGAATAAAGCACCAAACCATTTTGTCTTTGTTTCCTTTTTAAGGCTTGACTTTTATAATCTATTGACTATTGTTATGTCTTGATTAAAATAGGTTTAGTTACATGCCCGAAACACCTTCACAACACATAATAAACCGTTATAAATTCATTAGGAAAGATATTGTCTGTACAAGTTGCGTGTGATTCAGCCATAGGCCTGTAGTGGGCGTACACTGAAGATCCCTGTATTAAAGACCAGAACTTCCAGTTTTAGGCAGCAGCTTGGCTTCTCCAGCCGTGAGCAATAAAGCCTCGCTCGTAACCAGATCTGGGGTTGTAATGTCACAATTTCAGTTAATGAACACGAAATATTCTTACAAGTATATTGTTATCGGTTTTTATAACAGACTTTGTCTTCCCCCTTTCATAATAATGAAATTATCTTTATGTCTTACATTAAATAAAAATGTCTTGTTTCCATCAAAAAGAAAAAAAAAAGTAGGTCCTATGGACTGGTTCTAAACAAACACCTGTCTGTCTGTCACCTACCTGCACATAAGCACTATGAGCAATTGTAGATTTAAAGTTTATTTTGGCATGGAAAGTCATTAAATTAAAAAGTAGGCTAATTTACATTAATCACCTGAATGAATTAAAGTACAGCATTTTACCAAAAAAAATTCTATTCTATTCTATTCTATATGCAGGCATTTAGTCAATGAATGTCTAAACGACTGTGATTTATTACGCATAATGGATAGTTTTTGGCTGATTAATAGCCAAAGCGTTAAGTCATTTGTCTGTCTTCTAATAATCCTTTATTTTTGGTCATCAATGAACACAAGCTTACAGTGTGATTTATATTAAGGGTTCAAACCAATTTCAGTCCAGAACGTGAGAAGTTGGCTCGCAGGCGTTACTGATTGGATGCCCTTAGCTCGAGTCTCATCATATGTGTTGTTCAGTCCATTGACTTAACATGTGGGAACCACAATGGTTATAAAGTGGTTATCTTTATGAAATTGTTAATCATTACAAATTGTACAGAACCTGCTCTTGGTCATGTACTGTGTGATTTGGTGGGAATTAAATCACGCACCTTTTCACAATAATGCAAATCACTCATTTTATCTCAATACCTCATACACCAAACAGGCACTGACCCCCCACAATTTCACAATATTGGAATCTGTCTGTTTCCTCCCCTGTTGTGGCCTATTGTTTTAGGTGGTAGCAATGAAAGCCATCCTGGGATTTCTGTCCCCACCAAGACAAGGGAATTAGCTCCCTGAGTGTCCCTTATCTCGCTGCCTCCACACTCCACCCGCTGCTCTCCCATTCTCCTCCAGTAATGAGTATCTACCCAATTTAAGTTCTTTTTTCTCTCCAAAGGGGGATAAATTCAGCCCAGTCCTTTGGATGAAAGAACCCGCAGGTCCCACGCTTCTCGCTCTGTGACCTTAATTGACAGGAAATTGTATTTGTCTCTCTCCCTCTGCGACAAAACAGGAGTCCAGCAGGATTTGCTCCCCATGCTTGGTACAATGACCTTTGTCTCTTCTGTGTGTTTTTCTTTGTTTTTCAGCTGCTCCTAAAGGTCCCAAACTCTTTATGACCCCCAGCAGGGCAAAGGTAGGGGACACAGTGTACATCACTGTGCAAGGATTTCAGGTAAGTCTGCTAGGGGTATGTGCATGGGGTTTTAAGAGAATGAGGGGGGAAATTAACACTATGCACCTAGTTAACCTATTTAATTTTTTTAACCACATTGCTTGGTAAATACATGTGTAGCCTTTATATATTTTGTTGTATTTATGAACTTTTCACATTGACAAAATCGGGATATAGATATTAAYTTTTAAAATTCCATCGTTTTGCTTAAAAGAAAACTGTTGCGGCTTAAAAGCTGCTTGAGCAGAAATAACTCAAACATTTCAGTTGACCAGCAGGGGGCGACTCCTCTGTTGGTGGAAAAAAAAAAAAACTTTTGCTTTATGATGAGGAAAAATAACCACTTGCATTTCACTCATTTTAACCCTTTAACCCAAATGTTTTAGGAGAAAGTCACAAATTTTCCATAAATTATCTTGTGCAGTGATAGAAGTTGCTGCATTTTCACTGTATAGTTTAAAGTTTGTCCTCACTAAACAATAAAATTCTGAACTACAATGAAAACAAAACAAGTTATAAATGACCAAAGTGCATCTCAGTGTGTTCTAATCAATGTTGCTATTATGAGCAAATTTACTGCAGTTTTAGATGTTTTTACCCTCATAAATAAATATGAACAAAGGTTTCTTTTGTCTCCTCATGACACCTTTCAAAAAGAAGAGAACAGCCTATGTCTCTGTTGTGACAGGCTGGTAGATGGTGATGGTCTGTTTGACAGTAATGACACATTAAAGGCAGACAGTTCGAGCCAGTCAGGTGAAAAGAACCTGAATAATTTGGAAATAAAGCCTCTCAATGGCCCAAAGCAAATATCTCCTTTAAGACTTCCCAGATGCTGCTTTGGAATCATGAGGCAGATTTCATGTTTGATTTTTACATCGCTGTTATAAGAACAAAATAATGTTCCTTATTGTTGTTGGTTTAAGGCACTGAGCTGTTGACTGCACAGGTTTCTACACATGTTTGTGTTTGCCTTGTGACCTTGGGATTCCTTCAAGGCTCCTCTTTGAACAAACACAAGACAGGTTATTACAAACAGGCTTGTGGCTCGCAGCCAATCAGGCCCTTCAGCAGCATAAAGACATCAGTGCATGCAGGCTGATCAGAAAGAAAYGTCCCCCTATCCTTCACTGGTCCAAGGTTTTAGGAGTTCACAAACAGATCAGATCATGTGCCACGACTAATAATGTTGGCTTATAAGAACAAAAAAGTACCTCTGATGCATTTCTAAACTTTAGTGTGCATGTGTTAACCATGTATTCTTGTTTATTTTTTCATGTCTTTAAATTGTTTATTAATTCAAGTATCTGCATAATATACAGTATTTAATGATTTAAAGACTCACATGAATGTATTTGAAATGTAAAACGATGAATAAACTTGTTCAACTCTCCACAAGGTTTTTAAAGTGCAACTAAATGTAGACTGTCCTTTTACATAAAAAAAAACACTCTTGTGGATTTTCTAAATAATTTTTTTTTCTGCTGGTTTTCTCTGAGCCACTTTAAAGCCCTATCTCTCTTTTTCCTTCCTTCTCTCCCTCCGTCCTCATTCCAAATGAATGTTGATAGAACGAAGTGTTTCCTGAGCCGCTCTTCACCTGGACGCGAGTGGGAGGCCGCCTGTTGGACGGCAGCACTGAGCGAGARGGGAAGGTGCTGGTTCTGGAGAGAGTGCCAGCAGAACTTAATGGATCCATGTATCGCTGCACAGCCCAGAACCCTTTGGGTTCGACAGATACCCACACCCGTCTCATAGTTTTTGGTATGCTTACCTTTTTGACATAACCCAGCCAAGGTCAAAGCGGTTGTCAGTCTAGTTAAACTGAAAAGGCATTTATTTTGATTAATCATTTATGAGATGATAAATATTTAACTTTTTTGTCATTGTGCAACTTGCATCCATAATAAAATGATGTGGCTTACTTTACAATTGCATAGTTGAATTTACTACCAATATACTGCATAGCTTCATCTCTTGCATCTGCATATTTAAAAGATTTGTGTGACCTSTATAAACTATAAATTATTGATATAACTAAATGTGTGATTAATAAAAAATTGTTTCTCTAATTGGCTCAACACACATTGCTTTAAAGCAACTCTTGCTGCCAGTAACTAATTGCTAAGGGATTCTATAACCATTCCATTAAGGCTTGTCTAATTCTTTTCTGTCTTCAATGCCAAAAACCAACCTTGGTTTCAAAGGCTCACAATTAAATTCAAAGGAACTTTGTTGTTGACAGTGGTAGAAAAGCACTTTGTTCGACGTTCAAGCTAAGGTAACGTGTTAATTGTAATTGGAATGTGTTTGATGTACGTGTGCTGATATGGGAACTCTGGCTCCTCTGATTCTGTTTATTCTGGAGGCTCTTAAACAAATGAGGAGCTGCCACTTCTCGAGCTTCTTCGTGGACAGAGTTTCAATCTCAAAACTTGTGTTATGGCTTGATTTTACAGWGCATAACTTGACTTGACTTTGGGATATTGGACTCTGACTCATGTTTCCTTAAAAGTCACAACAGAAATCATATCCAACGTGAATTYTGTTGATTTAAATGACTTCAGCACAATATAAAAGCTCAAACTCAGTGTGTTAAAGCAGTGAACTTTTTGTATGAGTCATCAAATGTCTTTATTCTAAGCTATTGTGAGGCTTGAGTCTTTACTCCAGGCTTCAGCTGCAAAATATGCTTTAAAGTCCATCATCAGCGCAGCATGGAAGAGAACTGTGCACTTCTCCCTTCGTGTCATTATTTTCCATGAATATCCCTCAGCAGTGCCACAGTGTTGCTTTTTTCTTGCAAATCAGATGCACAAGACCATGCAAGCATTGCGTCGTTATCAGTAACAGCTCTATCAAGTTGAAATAAAGCCATTCTGAGCAGCCACATGTCAGAACTGTTTAAAGGCTCAGATGAAGATGTACAAATAAAGCCATCAGTGTCAGAGATTCATTGTTTCTTTATTTTTTGGTCACGTTTTTAAGATTGAGATGTGATCTTACATAATATAGGGGACTAAAAAGTTTAATCTTTGAACATGGACACCTTTTGAACTCAAGAACATATAGTCATACCTTTTTTTTACCTCCTCCTTTTGGAACGTTACTCTGAACAGACTGTTAAGTATGACACAAATGCACAAATTACTGGGTGGGTCTAATAGTAACCTACTTTAAGGGTAAAGAGCCACTTTCAGGAGGCATTTTGCCAGAAAGAGCACTAAAGTCTATTTTACACGCCAACGCATCCTCAGGTGCAATCGTCTATGTGCATTGCATGGCCCATCCGTCTGTCTGCTAATTTTAGATTGCTACCACTAACGCTTAGGGGAAGAAAATGGTAATTAAGTGACCTTGGCACCATCCCCTGTGGCCTTAGGTTGAGATAGTTCTCTCTCTCTCAGGGGATTTAAGAAATATGTTGGGTCCCTGCTCACTGTGCCAAGTGTTCCAGATACATTATCAGAAATAACAGTTCATAACAGAGGCTAGGTTTGTAGATTTTCCGCTAGCAAGCTGAATTTGCATTTTAAAAATCAGTAAACATCTTAGGTAAGGGTCTGCAACCTTTACAATCAAAAGGGCCATTTATGCTCCTTGTCTCACTAATAAAATGTGTCCAGAGCCACAAAACAAGCTACAACTGTGATAATCAACTGGTGGTCCGCGGACCTTTTCAAAGCCTTTTCAGGAACCTTCACGGTCAGTGGAGGTGACATTATAAAACTAAAAAATATTGCTATTATTATTATATTATTTATTATTATACACATCAGGACAAATGACAAGACCATATTCATGTAAACAAGAAAAATACTATATATTGTTTATAGCCAATTTCATAAAAACTAACACAACTGAATTATTCAGGCATTTTTTCCTTCTAATTCTTATTATTATGTAGTCTTCAAATTCTTTAAAGGTGATTCTGATGGATTTGARAAAAATAAGTTGTATTATTTAAGTAAACAACAGGCTAGCATGAGCTAACATGTTTTACTTTTTTATGAGTAGTATTGATCACATATTTGCATACAAATTGATTTCTGTTGTGGGTATAAAAACAAAAAAAAACTATTCTGTTATGTTTGGTCACATTTTTAAAGAGCCGCTGCAGAGCGACCAAAGAGCCACATGTGGCCCCAGAGCCGCAGGTTGCAGACCCCTGTCTTATGTGATAGTAACACACGAGTTAACTATAATGCAAATCAATAGAAGTTAAGAGTCCCATACAGGCAGAAACACACACATACTCGTGCACGTATGTATATTTAACCAAATTTGCTGGGCCAAGCATGCACATGGATGCATACTGAAAGTGGACCCATTAATTTCGCTCGGTCCTCCTGGGGAGCTATTGTGTTAAAACGGCAGCACTGAGACCAGAGTTGTTTCTCGCGTTTGTATACGTGAAGCTTCCACCTGCTTATATAGAAAGTTAAACATCCAAAAATAGCTCACAAAGTGGAATTTAAGAGTGATTGCTAATACTCTGCAAACCCTCCAACTCCCTCTTTTGCAATTACTTTATTCCGGTGAGAACGTTGAAAATACACTATCAGAGCATTTTGTGCAAGTTAGACACTGGTGTAGCCTATTAAATGCAGAGTCTCCAAACCTCTTTCTCTGACTGTCTGCCCCCAGTTTCTGTTCCCTCTCTGCTGCTTTAAGTGTCCTGGTTGTTCTGTTACAGTGCTTTGTGTTCCCAGATCCATTAGCTAGCCCATCTTTCTCATCAGAGGTGTTAAGGGGTACTTCTAAAATATATACTTTTTATTCATATGATTATTTTTCCCACATTGTGTGAAGCATTCACCATCTCAACAGCAACTGCTATGTTTGATTGTATTTATTTATTTTCTTGTTCCTTTCAGAAAATCCAAGCATGATGAAAAACACGCAGAATCCAAACAGTAAGTATGTCAGTGATCTGACAAAACTTTGAGTGTGTTTGAATGTACGGTTTTATGACCCTGGGATTTTTTGCAATCACTGTATTGAAATATGTCATTTTTTTATTCATTTCTGCCTGTTTTGCCCCATATAAACTACTTGTGAGTTGTACAGACATGATTAATCTTTGATGCTCAGGAGCAGGAAGCAACAATCCTCTCCTCGTGCCTAACCGTGCCCGTCACTTTGGGCTGAGTGTGAGATTATTGGTGTTTCATATGTGTGGTGATGGCTCATTTGCAGCTTCTAAGATTATCGTATGTAAAGCGAGGGATTGTCAGGAGAAGCCACAGAAATGTGACAGCAGCCTCTCCATCTCTCCAATTTCCCCGTCTCTCCCTCTTACTTTTCATTGCACCCTTTATGTCTGCTGTTCCGTTCCTCCTCTTTGAAATTTACTCTTTTCATATCTACCACTGCAGTTCTCTTTTTTTCTGCCTCGACTATTCCTGGTTGTCTGTCCCCTACTGACACAGCTATATTTCTCTTTCCATCTTATGTAGCCCCTTCTRTCATATTTTACTTTATTTTACTTTTCTTTTTAAATCACAAGCTCTGATTTAATGCAGATTTTCAGTCTCTCAGACCATAAGCGATGTGTAGATTAAGCTTTAGCGTGAAAGCATTCAGCTCTGGCTAAATAGCCAGCGTTCTGAGCCTTAACAGATGGGCCTCTGAAGCATGGAGTGGTTCACAACTCACCAAGACGGAAATGAGAGTGTGACCCTATAGAGATAGTAATCAGAGCTTTGATAYAGTGTAAGAAAAACTGAGTGAACTTTAACAAAAGACTCTTTAATAGCTCATCTAGATTAGTAAAGCCCATTTCCACCCACATCTCAGCCATATAAAACCCACTCACATCTGGCTTTTGTCTTCAGCCAGAAAGGCTATAATCTGCATTCATTTACTGATCAAATGACTCTGCAGTAGTCACGAGCAATGTACACACAGACTCTTGGTCTCACTGGATGTGCTGGACATGGGACACCCAGGTCAACATGCAGATGTTTACTAGGAGTCAGCTGCACTAATGGTTTAAAAAAAATAATTGCGTGAAACAAAACTGCAAAAAACAAGAAATGTATCAAAATTGTGTTGAAAATAGTATTTATWATTGGACTGTTTTAGTATGCAAAATACAGTGAACTAGGTGTAATTAGACTGCTAATGACATAAAGAAAAAAGATAAAAAACTTGTGATAAAAATCCTAGTTTTGGTTTAAACATTGCAATAGAGTAATTCAATGTCTGATAAAATTGTTATAATACAAAACAATTGTTATTATATTAGTGATGAACATAAATATCATTACCCAGTTGTTTAACATTAAGACACTAAAATTCTACCCTTAGAATAAGTATGATCTTAATCAAAGAAAAACGACAAAAAAGGGTACCACTTTACAATAAGGCTCCCCTTGTAGATGGCTTATAAATAGTTTATAGATAGGTTATTGATTCAACTGTAAAGACTTTATAAATCATTAATAAATGTTTATTATGGATTAATTAAGAACAGGAAAGAAAAAACTGTTCAGTTTCTTGCCAAATAGTGAGCCAAATCTGTTTTGTGTACATATTACTAGTTTTGTAAGCACAATTATGTATTGGAAACACATATTTAAAAAAATAACATTGTACTATAATACTGAATTATACATATTAACAACAGTCAAAGGGAGCCATATTGTAAAATGTAGGACAGTAGGTACACTATTTATGAATGATTAATAAACTTGTATGAATGCCATAAAGAGCCTTATTGTAAAATGTAAAGCAGTACACTATTTATAAGGCTCTGTTATGACATTATTAGTCATTAATAAATAGTATACTGTTTTACACTTTACAAAAAGGCTCCCTTTTGATTACTGTGGATATGTATAATGTGGTAATACAGTACAATATTATATGTAAAATTTGTGTTTTCAATAAATTGTGCTTACAAGGTAGTAAACTAGTGTAAAATGTTTAATAAAGCACCTTTAGATGTAATATGAACATGAACAGATTTGGCTCACTATTTGGCTAGAAACCAGACAATGTTGTCTCTTTCCCATCCTTAATTAATGAATAATAAACACTTATTAATGATTTATAAAGTGTTTACAGATGAAATAATAACCTATCTCTAAACTATTTACCAGCCATCTATAAGGGGAGCCTTATTATAAAGTGGTACCCAAAAAAGTTGACCCTAAAAAAGTGAACATCGAGTGTGCCTAAATAAATAAACAAAGTGATAAAAAATATAATTTTATTATTCTAAACTATCATTCAGCTATTGTCTCAGGACTGAAAACCCTGTGACCTAACATCCTGTCATCTGTTCAGAAGTRTAAATACCATAAATTCATAATGACCACGAAGCATCTATTATAATCACAGTTATTGCATCAGGGGTCCTTAGAAAACACGAGTGTTTGCTCCCCTGCTGTGAAAACAGGTCACACATTGTGCCTGCTGCCTTTGTGAGTCTACATAAAACGCAGTGATTAGTTACTGATATTTTGTGTTCCTTATTGTTTAGCAATATGAATCAAGTAGGAATTGTAACTTCTGTAACAATTTATAAGCACTAGAGAAATCATAAGGCATTTTTATTGTGATTATTGTATAATATTGTTGAGGCAATGAGCTGTTAATGGGCTAGGAAATTTATTTTCTATATTCTAATTACCACACAACTCCAAGTTATATAGGCTGAGTTTGTCCCAGCCTAGTGGAACCAGTTTCCYAAAACAGATGGGAACTAGGGCTGTCTCTGAGCTTATCTGTGTAGTCACACAGGGGTGTAATTTGACRCAGCCTTTTTACTGTCTGTATATTTTTACATCGGAAACATTACCTTGACAGTTCTTATATGGGTTCTTTAACTTTAGTTTTTGTTTAAACTGGATCTTTATGCTGTTAGTTTTACTTATTTTCCTTTTATGCAAGTTATGTCTTTTGCATGCAAATCTGCAAATGCAAATACTGTGGTAACCACAGGAACAGGTGTGTCTCAGCAAGGATAGAATTAGGTCAGAATGGACTTACTCACAAGCCTTGCATGCAGCTCATGCTGATATGTAGCATGATCCCAAGAGGTTAACATACACATGCCTGAGTAAAATGACTGACTGTCCAAATCTCTAACTGATTGGTAGTTAGAACCACCAACCATGTGACTGTCAAGGCCACTGTAGACATCTACACTTTCTATTGGGGTTACACTCATTCATTTTTGTCAGTTTTGCAGTCYCTGACACAGCTTGTCAAACTGCACTGTATGGCAATGAACTGAATTTATCAGWTGAGTGAAAGTGAGGACATGTTTTCTGTCACAAAATACTGTTTCTATCAAAATGGCCTTTGGGGGGTTACAGGTTTAAAGCAGTCATTTTATTTGGACAGTGTGTTCTGTTGGTTGTACCATAAATAAACTCATTACTAATTATGCCTCAGGYGATAAACTTTGCTCTTATTTGTTTWATTAAGCTACACCCCAAGACTGTCGGGGCTATAATCAAATGAACTGCATCAGTGGCGGATCTAGGATTTTTCTGAGTAAGGGGCCATCAAGGGGCCACAATATTCATAGAGGGGCCAAGTGTTTGTTCAATATCATTGCACATATATCCATATATTCATACATTTATACATATTGTAACTAGGGGTGTTCCGATACCAGTTTTTTCAAGACTGAGTACAAGTACGAGTACTTCAGTTTAGGGACTCACAGATACCGATACCGATACCAAGCAGCAGGGTTCGTGTGGATTATCTGTT